GGCTGTTGAGACTTTCTGGCATGGTGGTCATGGTCATCTCTTCTCGCGGGGGCTGAGTGTGGGTCTCTCTCTCTCTCGCCTCTGCTTCCCTTCCTCTGCTTCCCTTTTGGGGGTCTCTGTGTTTCTCAGGACAGGAAGGAACCCAATTTAAGCGGAACAGGGGTTTTCACTTTCCATTCATAAGAAAATGGAGTTTGTCTCTTTGAAAAGTCTAAGCATGATGCTGCCGAGCTCCCCAAACTCGCTTCAAAGCTTTGACTCAGCCAAGGTCATAAATATTCATGAGCTGGCGGAGCTGATTGGTCCGCTGTCTTGCATAATCACCGGGGATTGGTCCGAGCCGCTCCGGCTCCGCTGGACTAGAGCGGGCGAGGCGGCCGGGCCTCGGGAGAGACGCGTCCTCGCTTCCCGGCCGGGGCTCCCCTGCAACAGAGCGCGCCGAGGGGGCGCACAATGGACCGCGGCGCCCGCGCCGAGACTCGGCGGCCCGCGCTTCTTCAGCCTCCCGCCCTCCCGACGCGCCCGCCGTACTTACCAGAAACCCGCCGGCGGTTCCGCGCCGCCAGCCCCCTTAGTGTCCCCACCCTCCGCCCGCCCCAAGCCCGGGACCGGGGTGCCGCTCCCCGCCGCCGCCGGCGGGTCGTGCGCTCAGCTAGGGCGACTCTGGAGCCGGGCCGCGGCCTCCGCAATACCCGGTGGCGCGATGGGGGAGGCGCCCGCAGCAGCCAGGGGCGCGCCGGGCTCCCGGCGTGCTGCGCCCGGGGCAGCGCGCCTGCCCGCGCCTCGGGTCAGGGTCGGCTCTGCCGCGGCTCCGGGGGTGGGTTTGGGGCCCTCGGGGCGAACTCACTCACTCGGCCGCCGCGCCGCCGCCGCCGCTCCCTGGGGCCCGCTCGCATTGCTCCAGGCCCAGGTGGCCACTCTAGCTCGAGGCTGCACCGGTCTGATTAAAGCAGCGAACGCGGAGAGCCAGGAGCCCGCGCTTCTCCTCCCAGGAAAGGCGGCCGCACCGCCCCCTCCCCCCAACACACACCCCCTCTTTCCCTCCCAGCCTTCCTGCGCCTCCCCTCCCTTCCCACTCGCTCGGCGCCCTGCGCCCGGGGCTCATTCGCCCCGAGGGTGCCGCCCCGAGCGGAGCCTAGAAGTCGACGGGTTCGGTTCTGCCACGACGGAAGATTCAGGTGGTCATTTGCCGACCTCCTGCGCTCTGGAGAAGGGGCCCGGGGGCCAGGAGTCCTGGGGACTGCGCCCCGCGGCCACCCCGGGCTAGTGGGCGGCCTGCACGTCTGTGTGTGGACAAGTCCCTCAGGGTCGCCCAGGTGCCTTCTCAGCTCCAGTGGTCAAGGCGGGCACCACTGGACCCGAGGGCAGGGCTCCCCGAGAGGCAGCCGCCGAGCCTCCTGCCTTCCCGGGCGCACGGCACCGGGACGCGCACAAAGCCCGCAGCCGCGGCCGCCCTGGCGAGGCGTGGCGCGCACCACGCTGGCTGCAAGGGGCTGTTGGTTCCCTATCCCGCCAGCCCCACGGTGAATCCCAAATTACTTTGTTAGGTAATTAGAAAGTGTTGATAATTATTTCTTTCATAATTTAGCTGTGTGACGGGAACGGGGAAATGATCTTGTGAAAGTTCACACGTGCAGATGTATTAGTTACTGATTCATTTGATTAAATGGTAGTCTCAAGTGCTCGGATCCGCAGCTGAAGGCGCCCCATTAGCATAACACTGATGTTTAATTTTCATACGCATAATTAGCCATATATTTAACACTAATAGCAACATGCAGCCTTTCAGCGTTAAACAGCTCGGGATTTGATCTGGCCTGAGCTGAACCTTCGCCGATGCACCTTCCCCTGTCTGGAGTGCGCAATGATCACAGGACAAACCTCTGTAATCAAGCACATTTTGGCAGAGGGAACACCAATAAAAATGAACATTCAAAACAAATTACATCGGTGCTGTCGTTACAGATATTAGTGGAAGGGGCTTCTCTCTCCCTCTCTCTCTCTCTCCCTCTCTCTCTCTCTCTCTTTTTTAACTTCTGCAGCAGCTGCTGCCGCCCGCGGAATTCCTCTCCTTTGGTTTAAGGGCACGATGTTGGGGGTAGAAATATTTCAGGCAACGTGGTTGGAGCAAAAAGAAAAACAAAAGCAAACAACAACAACCAATCCTCCAAACCAGTAATGGGTTTGCCAACGTTTAAGATTTTTTTTTTTCTTAATCACCGAACCACACGGTGAGGCTTTGTAGCAACAACCAGCTAATGACTGCTCCAGCAGACAGCTCCCGAAGCCAGCCGCTCGACTCCTCTTGACTTCCATGTTGCACTTGTGCTTCTAATTGCTCCTTCCTAGCGCCTGTTTTGGGGGTGTGGAGCGCGGTGCACCCTGCACAGCCGCACGGATGCTGCCGGGGCGCCTGGTCTCCCGCGCTCGCCTCGCGGGCCCTGCCCACGTAAGTGATCCCGGCGGCTGGTGCAGGGTGGGTGTCGGGGCCGAAGAAGCGGGGCTGAACTACTCCCAGGTCTCCGAGCAACGCTGAGGAAACCCGACGGCGGGCAGCCCTGGGACGATTTATTCCGAGAAGTGCAGGGTGGGGGAAGGGGATAGGGCGGCCGAAGGTGGAATACTGTCTCCAGAGCTTTCTATCCGTCCTCGTTTGGAGCGGTAGCCAAGGCTTTCGCAGCGCAGGGGCCGGAGAGTGGGTGCGTGAGGAGCAGAGACTGGCTCCAGGGAACAAAGGACCCGCACGCGCCCCCTCGGGGAAACGGTTTCAAAGTCTTGCTTATTTTAGAATGAAGTATGTGTGGGCGAGGGAGTGTCTACGCTCCGGAATTGTTTCTTAGCCCCAGAGAAACAGGCCCGGGGAGGGGCGGTTGAGCCAGGGCCCTCGGGCGCCGAGACACCCAGGCTAGACTAGAACCTCTATGTGAGATCTTATCTCTGAGTCCAGAGTGGGTCTCCCACCCCCACCTCCCGCCCCGTCCCTCATAGCTCAAACGACACCTGTTCTCAAACGCGGGTTTGCTTAGATCTTTGCCTGTCCTAACACTGAGAGGAAACAAACTCTCCCATTTATCCAGAGTCCCGGATTCCCAGTAGAACCTGTTGAAGCCACCGCAGGACCAGACTCCTGGTGGTGTTAGCTGTAGCCACGGGTGGCTGGAATACGGCCCTGGGTGAGATTGGGGGCCCGTTCCGCTGGTGTGGGGGAGCCGGGCAACATAGCAAGTCATTTTAAATATGCTTTCTAATTTCCACTTCAAAGCATGTTAAAGGGAGTTGGTTCTAATTCAAGGTCTTAGCTATGGAACTGCTGTGTATTGACTGGTGTGGGTATATATACTTACATATAGATGTATAATGTGTACACTTAAGTTTAGTCACTTTAACAAATGGGATTATAACCCTGGCCCATAAATTATTTCCCCTAAGAATAATTGCTGCATAAGCAGTGTGTTATCCCAGTGGTTGGTAAAATCCTTGAGTCCTACTAAAATTATTCTTGGGGGACATCTGAGTACAGTGATCTGTTAAGAGAAGGGGATAATCATTGCCAATGGATTTCTCTAGGAGAGAAGTGAAGTCACTCTCTGGCTCACCTCTCCCAAAGCCACCTGGGCCTTGCTACTCTTTAGAGAAACCCAGTCGTTGTCCTGCAGTAGGCTCGGTTTCTAGACCTTTGCTTGGCCAGATCTCCAACATGCCAAAAGTTTTTCTGTGAAACTTGTAAATCTTCAACTCCTCCCTCCTCTTTTCCAGCACTCAGATCCACTAGAATCAGAATGACCTTTGTCCAAATTCCACAACCGTGGATGTAGAGAAAGGGAGCCAGAGGGGCTGCAGATCATCTAAGAGAATCCCAAGTTCAGGGGAAAACCAGAACTAACCACTTTTCCAAGAGCACTCACTGAACTTGCTTTCCTATCTCCTGTTTCTGAATATCACAAAGACATGCTAGTTCTCAGGTCCTGGAAGCACAGGTCATGACAGCACAGGTAGCCACATTTCCGAGGAGCTAACTAGTCCAAGCTTTATTTAGTAGAAGGCAACTTTGTAAAACCCGCTTCAGTAGAAACTTTAGAAAAAACATTGACCCAGACACCTTCCCTGGACTTGTTTGTAAAACCTTGCCCAGAGGGGAATTTTTTCCTAGGTGGCCTGTTAGCCGCCCAAGCCCTCTCCACTCCTGAACAGAGGTTCTGTGAACAGGTCCTGAGGGGCATGTGCAAGGTAGGGAAGGTATTCAGGAACAGGAATAGGAATTGGGAAACAGAGAATGTGGGCTACTGAGTTTCCTGCTTCTGAAGCAGGTGGAGATGCCGGCGTGCCAAAGGCACTCACTAACTGCAATCCCAGCCATCTAAGTAAGCTCTTGCCTTCCTTCATATTTCTCCTCTTGCTGGGATCCTCTGGGTCTCCAGCCACAATTGCCAGTCCAAAAATGGGAGAGGTCTACTTAAGGGCGAGATCCACCCTACACTGTTCCCATCTGAGTAGGTGGGGCTGGTGTCTCTATTTCCAGGGCAACAGTCTAGCAGCCTGTGTGGGGGGGAGGGTCTCTCAAAAGTTTGCTGAGTTGGCTGGGCAGGGCAGGGTGCCCACTGGGGAGGAGGTGCCAAAGTGGACGGGGAAAGTCTGTTTTTAGATTGATAAACACTTGCAAAAGGGCCAGGGCCGGGATCCATTGAGGCAAGGCCATGTTTGGAAGGAGACATTCCATTCTGGGGTTAATCTTTTCATCGCAGAACAAGAAGGGGAAAGAACCAGAAGAGCTGAGGGACGACTGGACTCTGGGAGTGCCCTTGGGGTGGCCAGTGTGCGATCCACAAGGGCAGACTTTTTTAAATTCTCAGCTAACAGCGGGGTTTTTCTTTTAGCTTGTGCATGCGAAGAAAAGTTCGGGAACTCAAAAATTAATCACCTGCCCCCCCCCCCCCGCCCCATTTCTCCCCAACTGTCAGAGACGAAAAAAAAAACAGAGCAGACACAGTGGGTTTAAGAGGTGAAAGCTTTTTACTTGGGCAGAGTCAAGACAAGGGAAAGAGAAAATCCTGTTACTCTAGGAATCCCTCGTCTTCCAAACGAGGGCGTCCCCACTGCCCTTTCACACGCACGTCCAGCCCTGGGAAGCAGAGTCAGCAGCCAGGATCGTCTCCCAGGTCGCGCGACCCCGGCAGGGCTTTCGATCCCAGATCTCAACTACCCTCAAATTCCAGCGCGTTTTTTCCAGGGCGCGCCTGGGTGCTGAGTAGAGCACTGCGCAGCCTGGCTTTCGCCTGTGTTTTTAAAAAAAGTTCTTCAGGTGAATTCCAGCAAATCTGAGGGGGAAGGCGCCCTTCAGGTCGATGCTCAAGCCTCGTGGGGCAGTTTGGTCAGGATCTGCGCTCCCTGCGACGTGATGAGAACCGTGTGCTCAAACTGGGCAGACCTGAAACACACCCGCCGCCGCAGTGAGGACGCACGCAAGCGCCCGCCAGCCCCGGAGCCGCCGCTCACCGGCGAGGCCGGCCAAATCTTCCCTTCCCTTACAATTTATTTTATTTTACTTTATTCCCCTTACAATTAAACGCAATAGGGCGGAAAGCAAACACCTTTGATTGTCCAGGGAGATGACAGTCCATGCATCTTCCAGGACTTTAAACTCAGGGGATCCCTCGGTTATGATTGGCTCTGTAAGAGGGAAAATAGTTATCAGATTCTTGTCAAGCATTGTTTCAGCTGATGATCAAAAAAAGAGAGGAAGACGGTTCTCTCCCTTCCTTCCAAGTGCTTCCCCCGCGGGTTCATGTTGTCATCTCGAAGGGTTGATAATTGATGTTGCTTACATAGTATACTACAAACTAAACAGTAGGAAGAGGAAACACTATGGCATTCAAAAATGTATGAAGTTGCCTAGTTCGTAATTTTTTAAAAAAGGGCATTTTAATCAAGCTTTAATTAGGACCCTGTGGATAATAACTACCCAAACACCAGTCCCTTTTATAAATACCAGTCAGTTTAAAAAAAATATTTGAATTTTTAAAACCTGTTCAAAATGTGCATTAATCAGCAAATAACAATTTTCTTATTTTACTCTAATTGCTTCTCTATTAAGTTCCACAGTAAGAAATAAGATACCTTGGGGGTCTTAGGTGATTGGAATTTGGAGGTGACACCAATTACATGATCAGCCAGGAATGGCCTGCCAGGGAACACATGCCACTTGCTGACAGGGAGCAAGGGACAATAATCGCTTCTAGTTACTGGGTGTTAATGAAAAAAAAAAAAAAAAAAAACCCACAAAAACAAAACAAAAAACCAAACATGACATTATGCTGGTAACAGAATTAGAGGTTGGATGGCTGCCGTCTCCTAAATGTGTCAGTAAGTATCTGATTTAGGAAGATGAGGCTAGAGGATATTATTTAATCAGATTTACTATGCATCTGAATTATTTCATTACACTGATTGGCTTTATTAGTCCTTTACGGGACTGCCTGGCCTAGGCCAAAGCTGCTGCTTCCGCCCGGGAGCCACAGCTCTCTGCAGAGGAGACCCAGCACTGACCTATGGTAAACGCCATGCCCTCCTCCATGAGTAGATTGCTGTCATTTGCTGCAAAACAAATAAAAAAACATTGGGTAGGGGGATTGGGAAACCAAGAGATGATCAGAGACCAACAGAAGTACAGAAGGTTGGGTTGCTCAAAAAAAACTTGATCTTTTTTCCCCCCCCTTTTTAGTGGAGAAGGGTGGTGGTTTCTAGAATCCTGGTTGGGAGATACCACCCAGTGTTGAACAGTGTTCCTGGACCTCAGCCTTTCCATTTTCTGCACTTGGCATCAAGGCCTAGCAGAGGCAGACTGGATGTTTAAAACACCTGTCTAGCTTGCCCCCAACCCTGTCCTCTGGCTACTTACTGGGAGATCTTGGGTCTTAGCTGGGTTCTGGGTTTTATCCCCCAACTCCCATCCCAATGAGATGTCTTGGGGGAACTGATAAAAACGGAGGTAAGCATAGGGAATAAGGATAGGAGTGACTTCAAGTAACTGCAAGTGTTGGTGCTGAATGTAACATAAGCCAGAGAGGCCCTTTCTGCATTCTATCTGGACCTGTTCTGAGATGCCTCAGATGGGGTTCCTTAGTCCAAAGGAAGCTCTCACTTACTGGGTAGCTAGGGATGTCCCAGGGGATGCAGTAGTTACTCTAGGGACTACTCCCATTACAAGCACACAGGTCAAGCCTCAGGACTTTCATTCAGTGCACTCCCCCTTGGGGGCACTTCAAAACATCCAGGCTGCCCCAGAATCTGCCTCCTACTCTAACTTGAGCTGGGGGGGGCCCTCCCTCCATTTCTGGCCCACTGCTTCTTTCTCACTGTAGGGCACACACTCAGGCAGTGAAAAGCAGGATATTCTGGGGAAGGAACACAAGGGTGGGTATAATCTAGAAATCACTAAAGAGTACATGCTGCTAAATAAATCAGCTGTCAACGCTGTGTAGGATGTAATGAAGTTTAACCACAACAGTCAGTGGTTAGAAAAGGGGGTAGTAAAAGAAAAACAGAAAACAGTCATGTGAATGCCACTGGGACACTGATGCAGTGGCGTTTTGTTTTGTTTCAGTAACTTTTTCTGGACAAATATCGTTTGTGCCTTCTAGCTATGCACCCTTCAGAAGACAAAAAGCAAAATAAATCTATTTGGGGATTGAAACTGCTGAGCTCTAATCCAGTAACATATTAATTGATGTGCTGGTTAGGATTATGTTTACACCCCTTTTCCATACATACACATATACACACAAAAAACTATAATGTGGATTCAAAGTTAGAAGAGCTTCAGGAATAAAACTGCCTTATCCTGATTCTATTCAACAAACCATTAAATAGAATGGTTTCTTACCATGATGCCAAATTTCTGGATGTCCATGAAAGTAAGATCCTATCCCATGTCCCACAAAATGTGGGCAGACTTGCAAACCATTCTGATGAGTTATGTGGCTTTAAAAGTAACCAAAAAAAAATAGTTAATTAAATTAGATAAGTTTTTAATGTTTGCTTAGATAAAACAAAATCACTTTAACATAATCTCAAAAAAATACTAGTTATATTTAGAGTGAGATGATAGCACTAATAGGTTTTCATTATTCTAGAATAACCTGAATTTTTGCCATTACTTATAACAATAACAACTCCTTTAGGATAAGTGAAGGAAAAAAAGGGGTAGATATCTAACAGTAGTTTGCTTCATTTACCTTAGTACTGTTTTCAAACAAGGCACTTTTAGACAACAAATGAGGGTGCATACACACATATACATCGAGATCTAGCCATGACACATGTGAACATAAGGCAGGCATAAAAAAGTCAAGTCTGGTTTGGATGGGGTTCCACACCGACACTTTGAAAATTACTACTCATTTTTAAATCAAATAGAAAAAAAAAATTTCAATCTAGAAATGTGACTTCATGCTTCTGAAGTTTCCTTATTCTAGTTTATTTCAAAACATCCATTTTACAAATAGGAACACTTACACAAAGGTCCAAATCTGCTTTGTCAATGTTCTTGAAATACTCCAAAACAGGGGCCTCCCTGGAGGCGCAAGGGGTTAAGATGCAACCTATAAAGCTGTCCACAAACTCTGCAGCACAAGTTCGATCCCCAGCTGGCCAGGGAGCAACCCACATGGCACAGCAGACCTCTCCTGACTCGCCCACTGCTCCCCTCGGCAGTGTATTTCAGTCATTCCTCCTGTTCTGCTCCCCACTCTGTCTCTGATGAATCCTCTCACACACACCCTCCCCCCACCTCTGGCCTGTACTCCAGTTCTTGTATGCACAAATAAATCTTAAAAAAAAAAAAAGAAATATTCCAAAACTTAGTGTTCATTTGGGATTTCCACTCAAGACTCATGCCATTAGCAAAATTCACGAAGAATGCCTTTTAATGACGGTGATGCTTCAGAGAAGCTAGAATTCTGATTCCTAATGCTTCATTAGTTACTTCTGTGTGCAAAAGTTTTGGTTTTCTTCCAGTCTATAAAAATGAAATCTGGCACATAGAATACAGCCCTAAAATTTTCACCCACAAGGTTTAGAGTTGTTTTTGAAATCAGTCGAACACACTTATTTCTGGCAACACCACAAGATAAGAACATATACACATTAATAATTTTCATGTGGATGAAGGACAAAGTGCCTTAATCATAACAATGGATTGGAATTGGTAAATTCTTTTTTTTTTTTTTTTAAAGAGGCATGTATTTATTTATTTATTTATTTATTATTTATTTATTCATTTGTTTGTACATGCACTGGGTACAGTCAGAAGCGCGGGAGGGTGAGAGAATTCACCAGAGCCAGAGTGGGGAGCAGAGCAGGCAGAAGGACCGAAGTACACTGCTGAGGGGAGCAGCGGGCGGCAGGAGAGGCCTGCGCGCCATGTGGGACCCTCCTCTGGTGGCCGGGGAGCAGCCGGGGATCGAACCAGCTCCACAGAGGCTGCGGGCAGCTTCGCAACCCAGCACCCAACCGCTGCGCCACCGGGGAGGCCCCAGGAATTGGTAAATTCTTAACAAAACCAACATTCCTAGAACCCAAACTAAGGTTTTACTAAGGTTTTAACAGATCCTAGAGTTACTTTAATGTGAACACAAAGTTTTTTAGTCAGCATTTTTATACGTATCTGTGTCAAAAAACTTTCTTAAAACATAATTAATGTTCATCTCCAGATTTGTAAGGTATCTTCACTTAGGCCAGGATGTGACTATAAATCACAGATGGGCATCTTATCATTCAGATTTAATTTCCATGGAACTGATAGTGCAGAAGTAGGTAACCTATGCATGTATTGAGGACAGATCGATAAGTCAGTGTTTTTATCTTTTAAGGTGTATTTTCTGGTTATTTCTCTGCGTCTTTGCACTTTGGGCAGGAGAGCTAAGAACTCTTTCAGGGAGTTTCTATTTGTACTACAGCAATTTCTATTAAAAAAATAGAAACGGTGGATGGAGAATGCATAGAAGGTAGAAGAGAAATTATTAAATAATATATAACCTAGGTTTTTTTTTTTTACAAGAATGGGTTCTACCTAAATCTATATTCATTCAATTCCTACAATCTTCAATGATTTTAAAAGTATTTATTCTCTTATTTTCTTTTCTTTAAAAAAAAAAATCTGATTGGCAGGCATCACAGTTACATTTTAAATGTGTGTTACAATGGCAATCTCCATTTTAATTTTCGATGAGAGGAGAGGAAGAAAGCCCACTCTGAAAAAACACTTGGGGTACCCTCCTACCTTCACACCTCTCATTCCTCTTCATAAAAGCATCTGTGCAGTTACTAGGTGGCTAAAGATATCTGTGTACATTCTCCTATAACAATGTTCTGCCTGGATCCCGCTAGAACTTCTGGTTACAGGAGAGTCATAGTATGTACGTCATGGATGCCAAGGTCAGAGGCTCTCATAACCAGATAGAAGAAAAAAATAGGACATATTTTCCTCAGTTCCTTGCCTAAGTACCCATTTCAATGTTTGGGTCCCAGAAGCTAAGTATATACATATATATATATATTGGTATTTTCATTTTGGATTGGTAGTTTTTAACTCATACTTACTTGGGTAAAATCTCACTAATATACCTAGTTACTATTTAAAAGTATGCCTTTTCTACTATTTAAGAATGCATGGAAAACACAAGATTATTTACCAGATTCTAAAGAATTCTAAAGATTCTTTTGTAACACAAAAGCCAAGTATAGGTAAACCCCAGGGCTGTTTGGGAAGGTGGAATCTGTGTGCTTCTCTTGAGGGGTGTTTTAGGGAAAATGGAAACATCTGTGGGGGGGTGGGTATGGGTGCCCAAGACCTGTTCCCAGTACCAGACACTACAGGGCCACAACCATTTCTGAATACAAGGGTCTTCTTGCCCTGGACATTTCACAGATGAAATAGTTATTTATTTTTTTTTTTTTTTGCTGAAATTTACTAAAAAGAACTCTCCTGGTATTAGCCGCTCTGTTCTGATTTTCTCTAACTAAAAATCCTCTAAACCAGTTCAGCACTTATCCATGAGTCTGAGCACATTTATGATTTGAACTCCTTTATCAGAAATATTTGGGGAGGTAGAAGAGAGGACTGGAGTAAGAAGGTGTACAAAGGTGATTTATAAAGTAACTTTAAAAGTATGCTGTATTATTACAGTTTGTTTCAGTTATCGTTTATGGTTGAAAGAGAAATCTCTCAAAAGGAATTTCATCTTGTGACCATTTTGTCCCCTTAATTCCTTTTCATGAGAGAGTTTTCCTCAAAGTATTGTATAGCTAAATTAAAATTCTAAATACACTTCAACTACATGTTATGACTAAAAATACATTCCCCAAGAGGGCAGAGAAGTACTATATTTAAGTACATACTCTTCTAAAGAAATAAAAATCACATGGAAATTATTTTATGAGCTTTTTTACATGAATCCTATAAAAAGCACTAATTTCCAAATGTTCACAACTTTAATTAAAGAATCTCAAGTGGTACCTGATGTTCTAAGTTATGGAATTTTACTTTAATATTTCCAGTTCTTTCAGCAATAGTCTTTAAATGAAGGAATGCACAAACACAGGGATTCCTTCTAATGACAAGGAATGTTTAAGTACAATTAGTAATATTTTTGAAAGCCAACAACTGTTTTCCAAAAGAGTGGTATCTCTTTTTGTTTCAAACTGGATCACAAATTACTGTATTTTTCTTACAATAGTGCTGAACTTTTATTTGAGGTTTTCTGTCTCTGAAAAGCAGACATGATGGATTGAAATAAAAGATAATTTATTGCAATGCTTACTTTCATGTGCAGAGAGAAGCAGTGTAATTGTAATTTACAGTAGCTGTCAAGAAAAATCCATCACAGATGACATTAAAATGACTTATTTTGCCTGAGCCACTTATTGTTTAAATGTGCATAATCTAATAGAGATTATTTTTTTAAATCTGCTTTATATTATTCTAAATTAATATCAAAATATATACTTATGAATTAAACATTAAAAACCATTTATTGATACTTTCATCATGCTACAACTATAAGTTTAAATTATTTTTGATTGAACTGTCACATATTTGTGAAGCCTGAATCACAATATTCTATGTTCAGATCCTATCCACCATAATTACCAAAATACTAATTTAGAAATACTTTAATGCAAATGGATGTAAACCAAGTGTAATAACTGCACCTTAAAGATTACTAGCCATCCCTCATGAAGCAAAAGGGCACACAGAGAACTCTTTTCATTAAACTATTTTAGCCAATACTACTTCAGCCATATCTTCCTATCCTTTAGGTTCAAGAGAAAATTTGAAAATTTACTATAAAGATCACTAGGCTTTTCGTAACACAGTACTAATAAAGGATGCCTGAGTACGCCTTTCAAGTCTGTCAGCAAAGGGAGACTACGCAAAAGATGGTGAACATGTTAAAGGAGACGGAGTTGAAAGATGTTTGTAAACCTTCAGTCTGTAATGATTTCAAGTATTTTAGTCTTAAAGGTGGAGATTGTTTGTTTATTTGCTCCCTTGAGATTTTGCCTGAATAAGAAAAGGCTAAATAATAGATGTCCAGAAACACTGCCTGAACACATCAGCACAATTGTTCAAATCGGGCCAGTTTCCTCCCCAGTGGCAGACAAAAACCATCTAAATAATGAAATGTATTAGGGTAAAAGTAAAAAAGTTCATTGTCTATTATTTTTCACATAGTTTTGTAAGTGCAGTTGTTGGGACTGATCTGGTTTTCAAAGAGGCTTGTACATGCAAATTCATACTCAGAAAACTGACCTTTGCATCCAGATAGCTAAAATCCAATGTCACTTTCAATTCTACTCTTCTTCTTCTTCTTTTTTTTTTTTATGTAGCTAGAATTAATGTAGTGAATATGTAATGAAATGCATTATCCTGCATGGAGATTTATCAGATTTTCCGACTGAATGCTATGCTTTGCTAGTACTAGCTGGAGTTCACCTGCATGTTGGTGTGGCGTGTGGCTCTTTTTTGTAAAGAGTTAAGTCGTACACAAAAAAAGGGAACAAAGGTCAGCACCCAGCCGCCACTTGAATGTGAGATTTTTCTTTTTATTCCCCTTGATGTATACTAGGCTCTGTGTTATTAGTCTTAATGATGGAAAATTGTAGTGTTGATACAAATCTTTTTTTCAAAGTAGTAGGCGGGAGCTCCATTTGTTAGTAAGTTTTTTTGTGACTAAAAGCCATGGACAGTACATTTATGTAGCAGTAAAAGGCCTAGATGCTCTTTCCATAGCAGAGCTAATTATTCCTACTGTGACCTTACTGATCTAGCCTGTTCCTAGTACATCTCATCTGCACGCCTGTTCCTCTGTGTAGATGGTGTCAGAGAATATGAAAAACCCTATAATGAAACCATTTTCATGATGGAGAAAGGCTACTGGAGTTGCACTTGCTACAAAGAGGCTCAATTATATGAGTAATTGTGATAATTTTCTACATTCATAGCCTTCAATGGGGAAAAAAGAATGAGAGCCACAAAGGAAAATTACTTTAACAAGAAAGTACAGAGAGTAAAAATGGAAGAAGAGACAAAAAGGGGAAAAAATAACCAGAAAAAAAGTTTAAAAAATAGATCTGGAGGGAGGAATAGCGAGACAGGGAGAACAACAGAAATGCTCAAAAGCCCATGTGCAGCTGTGTTGCACAATTAAATTGAATTTTTTTTTCTGCAGTTGATGAATGTGACTACTGCAAATGTGCCTCTGTAGTTAGCTATCATTTGTTGTTCCGTGACAGGAAAAGGATAATTACCTCTCAGAGAGAATCAAAGGCTGACATGCCCTTTAGACACAGCCATGAATGCAGAGCTCGATAGAATGCTTGAATAAGAATCTAGTGTTCTCTGCCCCCTTCTACTGAAGAATAAATTTTGTTAAAATGCAAGAGCACCACCAGTAAATTTGTTGAACCCTAGGTGTTCAAAAATATGAGGTACATCTATCGACTCATCCCATTTGCAAAAATAAAACTGCATTTTGAATTCATTTCTATTATATTCATGGACAGTAAGATAGTGAGATATGCATTAAATTTCTTTTCCCAGTAGGGGTCTGATTCAACATTTCCTATGAAAGAACAGAGAGACACTATCCTTTTTTCCCAGGCTAGTTAGCCTATAATTTAAAACTGTCAAAAACACAATTTTGTTCAAAGTCTTCAATAAAAGCTTCTCGGATATAACCCAAAGAGATTTTACTAAAGTTTGATTCAGACACTGTTACAATATTTTTAAAGCCATAAATACATTTAACTGATATTTTACTGCCTTTTTCTCAAAGTATTTGAAGGCTTACGAAGAAAAAAGGCAGCATCTTTTCAAGGTGACTAAGCCTTCCATCCTTTAGGCAAATGGGAAGTATTCAGGTTCATATTAATAAGGACAGTACTTTAAAAGGTACTGATGTGATCATCTTTAACAAAATGCATTACCTTTAAATGAAAACACATATTCTGCATGTATCCTGCAAAACTGTTATGGGGAAGAAAGATCTAAAAGTAGATAACAGATTGCAAAGAGAAGTCTTGAATTCAGGAAATACACATACACTCAAAAAGCTAGCATAGAATACTATGTGGAAAATAAACAATGGTTTACAGAAAAAGGGAACCAGACAAAAAAAGGACAGATGAGCCTTAGAGGCTGTTTGCTAATCTATTTATTTGAAAGGTTAAGCTTGCTTGGGCTAACTAACACTTTTTACCTTTGTGTCACAGGAAAAGTTTCACCTCATCCCTTTACAAATTTCACTTTTTTCCTGTCTCATTACCACAGGGTTGGGATATTTAGCCCCTTCTTAGGTGCTTTCTTTCATGACTGGGGTGATTTTGAATAAAGGGACACTATATGGACCAACATGTCAAGCTAAAACTAAAGCAGTCATATAGATATTGCTTGTAAGTTTCTTTGCTGACTCTGGTACTCTGGTATAATTCATTTTCTAAAAACCTTTTTTTTTTTTTTTTAAACCCAGGGAACAACATTACAGCCTGGCAGTTCACATACTGATAGCAGACTGAAATGATGGTTCTGAATCATAAAACATGTCATCAACTTTATACCAAGCCACCAATAACCTTTGTACCATTTGCCAACCCTCCCTTTACTTGTCAGTGTAAGGCTTACCTGATTGTGTTTCCAATTACAGAGAAGGGGGCCCCTGCTCTGCAAGCTGCAATTGCTTCATCTCTACACCTCCTGGCCACCTCCACTAACTTTTGGCCACATTCATCCACATTGCCCACCAAAAATGTTTCAGAGGTGTCTCCATGGTAGCCATTGTAATATACCTAAACACAGACCGAAATTTTAACACATCCTTGTTTAAAAATCTTCTCTCTTGAAATATACATTGTATTCACTTATGTACTTAGTAAATTTATGTGTTTCACTTTTCCAGAATTAGCATCTAGGACTAGATATACCAAAACCTTGCAGGAATTAAAAAGATGACACCATATAATGAAAATGCAAAAATTTTAAATAGAGGCAGGAGTATGGCCATTTCAGGTTTATCATAGTAATGCTATTGTGACATTTTGACTCCTCACTTTATTTCTGAGAAGACAAAATTATATATGCAAAACTAGTGACCAAAAACATTGGCCCACAACTACCACAGAAAGTTTGGAGAATCTTTAAGTATTTAACATAAAAGTTTCTTCAATGTTATGAAGATACTGACCTTTAATTTACCAATTCTATACTTGGAGGTGATAGATAATGACTAGAAGAAATAAAATAGCCATATCAGTATTCTAATAAACAGTAGGAGAATTTAGTTCCAAGAACTGAAGTGGCTCAATATGAGAATGAAGTATGACACAGAAAAATCCTGTCCAGAAGTAAAAACTTAATCAAATACTCCAGAGAGCAGAATGTTAACAGATAACACTACACATAAATTTTTGAAATATAGAATTTGCTAGAATATAACAAAACAGGTTTAAGAATAAAATTACAAAAAATATAATTGCATCAGTCTTCAGTGATTCAGTAGGTCCTGTAGACACCAGATTCATTATAAAAATTAATGATTACTAAACACTGTAATAAATGTAGAAGGCAGAGAAGACTGATATTGATCCTTTGATACAAGGAATTGGCTGTTTTGCATAAATTTGTCCTATGTAATTATTCTTCACATTTAGAAACTTATAAAAAGATATTCATTGAGTTTTCTTTTTTAATAATAATGTCTTAAGTTTGTATATAATACGCATTAAAAAATTACTCTCCTATATTCTATAAAGGAAGCACGAAAAAAGTCTTTATTAACTGTCTTTATTAAATATTCAGAAATTGAGGCACAAACAAGGAACCTAAGGTCAGTGGTAGAAGACAAAGGTAGATCCAGATTAGTACCATGGTTACTGGCTTCTAACCAGGTGTTTTCTTTGCTACATCAGATTACCTTAATTGCTTCATAACAATGCTTTATGCATCTGTTCCCATTGGCAATCCAAGAAAGTACAAGTTTCAATTTTATATATTCAATATATAACATCTGTAATATGAGTAATTAGTAAAAAAATTGTAACTGAATATTTCTATTTCTATAACAGTTAAGTAAAATGAATTTTTAAAATCTTTATTTGCTTGTTTACATTACTTTTTGCTAGCTTTCATAATAACTGGAAAGGCTCAATATATATGAAAATACAATACTTTTCAAAGTCTACGCAAGTATCTGTAATCACAGTTTGTAAACACAAACTATTCTTGTTTTGTACTTCAATTATTCAACAACGTATTTGTTGAGCACCTACTATGGGCATCACATTGTCCATTTTTAAATTTTTTTTAAAGATTTATTTATTTATGCATACAAGAACTGGGGTACAGGCCAGAGGTGTGGGGGGTGAGAGGATTCACCAGAGACAGAGTGGGGAGCAGAACAGGCAGACTGACTGAAATACACTGCTGAGGGGAGTAGCGGGCAAGGCAGGAGACGTCTGCTGCACCATGTGGGTAGCTCCATGGGCGGAGATCAAACTCATGCTGCAGTGGCTGCAGATAACTTCGTAGGCTGCGTCTTAAGCCTTTGTGCCACCAGGAAGTGCATTTTTAACATCTAATTTTCAATGGTAAATAAGTCTGCTTTCTTGTGATATGATGATAGATTCAAATAACTATAAAGTGCAGTGAGTATTTTCTGATAAAAGTACAGGACCTCTTAAATGGACTCCTTCACTTAGTATTTCACTTTGCTGTATGAGTTTTGCAATTGTGAAACCATTTGGAATTGCTTATTAAAAGTCTTCAGGAAATCGTTTCTCAGCCTTTTGGCTAAGATCAAGTGTAAAAGCCTTCAGGAAACTGAAAAGAGGCATGGGATAGTCTTTGGACACATTGAATATTTGAGGGGAGAACATACTGCTCTCATTCAAAGCAGCAATATTTTATTAGGCAGTGATTAGGTGAGATAATAAATGTAAAACTCCCAAACCAAGTATAACCCAAAAGAAAAATACATCATTAAAAATATTTTATTTCAGGCAAACTTTATTAAATACCTCCTTCTACGTAATTCTAAGTTGAAAAGATACCGACAGAATATATGTGAGACAAACGTTCAAGTATTCTCAGTAGGGCAGAGTGGCAAAGGAAAGAGTACCAGCAATAAAACAATCTTTGGCTATATCCTCACACAAATTGATATGAAGATAAAAGGTGGCATTAATTTCAACAACTAAAAATCTGACTGAATTCAACTACCGGATGCCAATTTCTCCCTTATTTATACTGCTACCAAAGTTTCACACTCTGTATATAAAATAACTATTAAAAAATATTTTCTCATTAATATAAACTGTACACCTAGAACACTGTCTACCTCACCTACTCATCACGTTTAAATTATATTTATTTAAAATGTATTAGTTAGCAGATGTATAGAAATTACTTACAATCTAGATAATCCAAGCATACCATTATAAAATTTCTTAGTAAAATAATTGCCAAGAACAAATAGATGAAATCTGAGAATAATGAAAGGCTAAGACAAGGAGAAAGGATTACAACTCGTACAATTTGAAGTTCCTATGTTAAATCACTTAGCATTATTATGTAAAATAAAGGTTATTAGCCATTGATGAAAACTTAAGCTCAGGGAGAAAACCACTCTGCTTGTAGGTTTCGAGTTCAAGGCTCTCTCTATCAGAAATGGAACACGACGTTACCTTCAGGGATTTTAATAAATCTAAGGAACACTGCTAGTAAAAGAGTTGCTGTCCAAATAGACTGACACACACAGGCCAATGTAGCCCCTAATGACAGAGTAAGATAATGACAGGCCCCACTCAAAATCAGCAGGAAGAGGAAGATCAATCTTGGCAGAGTGAAGGAAAAATGCTGGCTTTCTTTGCGTTAGCTCATCTCATACATATCTAGCTTCAGCAGCTGCCCAGTGCTGTGGTGCTCTGCATTAACTACACAGTGGATCAATAACAATTACACCTTCTCAAAAACATGACACATAGCAGGATTGGGTTGACATTTCACTTAGGCCAACATTGATCTCAGTGCATCTGATTCCAGCCCTAAATTCAAGTCAGGCCTGGGTTTACTTGGAATAAACACAGAGTTAAAGACAAAAAAGGAAACCAGCTGCTTGCGTCTGGGGCTAGAAGTAAACAGCACTTCCATCGGTGCAGTTCACATTTTCAATCCACTCTTCTTCCTGTTGCTACCAGCAATTCTGAAGTTGATCAAAGACTATTTTTTATATAATTTACTCACCGTGACATCAATGTTGATAATATCTCCATCCTGAAGAGGTCGACTGAAACATAAACAGAAAAAAAAAAAAAAAATGGTGATAGATCTTAATACGAGGAATATAAAAATAAATGCCTAATGACTACTATCACAAACCCAATGAGTCACAATGATAATTTGGAGTGGAGGAGGAATAAATTGAGTAACTCTATCTAATTTTTAACTTATGTTAGTCACATCAAATTTTACAAGACATGTATGATATGAGCAATATTGCTATTGTATAAAAGTCTTTAAATCATGTACTTACTAGTTAACTTTAATTGTGCAAAGAGTCAAAATAATAGTTGAGAACAAGTATTTACCTATATTTGGATTTTTACTATTTATATGATGAAAGTCTAAGAAGACAAAATAAATATTTAATGCACAGCCACTTTTTGATTATATACTCTTTAGCAAACATTAAATGGTGGTTTTATGTCTACTTAGAAGCAAAATACCTCAAAATTTTTGTTTTACTAGAATCAGCTTCAGAAGTGTGCAGGTGGGTTTCAATTAAACTACAGTGTCATTCAACATATGTTCTAGATCTTAGCTGCATGTTTGAATTTCCAAAGGAACAATATGTTATTAAGCAATGAATACCTGTCAGGAATACCATGACATAGCACGTTGTTTACAGAGGTACAAACAGATTTTGGAAAACCTCCATAGCCTAGAGGTGAGGGATAGGCATCATGACTGATGATTTCCTGATGAACAAGAGCATCTATTTCTTCAGTTGTCATGTCAACCTAAAATATTAATAAAGAAGTTGTGCCGTGACAGTTGAAGACATTTCCTGTACTTACAATGCCGCTAGTTATAGCACTTCCAGATAAAACTTTATAAAGATTATCACTGTGATAATCTTGTCATAGAACAATTTAATTAATTATGATTAACATTAAAACACTAGACTGTACCTTTTGGACAATCATTTGGGCATAGGATGGTGTTATGGACTGTTAGGAAATGGAAATTTTAAATATTAATCGTTAAATCATCTGTGAGTCCTTTTTAGCCTGAAGATTTTTTAAAAGTATATTTTCCTAGGCAATTCCTTTCTCATCCTCAACAGTGTCATGGGCTACATGTAGCATGTAAATAAACACTCAAAAGAATCTTTGGTTTAAATCATAAAGCTTGAAAAGTAGGTCGACCTACACTTTTTTACTTCACTGAAACATTACATGGCTTTTTCAGTAATGGCACTGAGATTATGGATCTCTGATATATTTTATAGATTGGTTTTAATTACTTTTGATTTTGTTCATGCCTAAATAAATATTTTTAAAAAAAAAATATTTTCCCTTACTAGAAGGCATCCAATTGCTCCCAAACTAAAAGAAACCAAGTTCTGTGAGCACATAAAGAAATCACCACTAAATCATATCTCATCAATAAAGTTCCAAAACAAAAATTTAATTAAAAATTTACTCAGCAACTTCTGTTATTTTATATTTGTTTTGTGCTCAGTTATATTGATAAAACAAGCTTATTACACAGATGATATCTTAAGTGATTTCACCTTTGTGTCTCACTTCCAAAAATTTGCCCACCTTTTGGAAACTACAGGCCTATATTTTCTTTTATGATCCTTATGTACCAGAGTGTTTGGTTATTCTGGAAACTAAATCTTGCTATATTACGTATCATTTGGTCTTATCTTTCTTTGCTGGGCTAATGTGAAGAAAAGGAGACAAAGGGTGAGATAGAGCAACTCCTCAGGCACACAGAAATAATGTGGGGGATAAAAGCAGAAACTACAGGTAGACTAAGGGGGCAAAAGTCAAAGCCACTTGCCATTGGATAGTCTGTTTCAGCTCAAAATATCTCTAAATTTCTGCTACTTAAAATTAAATTTCTATTTTAACTTATCACTTAGATAAACACAAAAAATAAGGTCTCTTTCCCTCATCCCAAGGCTCTACTTAATTTTTTAACCAATTAGATATGTACAAAAGAAGAGTTAAAGCAAAAAGGAGAAAACAAAAAAGAGTATGTTGTCCTTCTGAGGCTTGGTGAGACACCACCTTTAAACTCTTCCCAGCCAGGAGGAGGACATGCCGAGCCAGCTGACAAGCCTGACGAAGCCCTTGAATCTGATCTTCATTCTTAACTTCTATGCTGTCTCCCCAGCCGGGTACAATGCCTGTCGTCACATAGTCTGGCTTCTTTATGTGCTTGAGGAAAAAGGATTGAAAACGAAGATCAGAACCCAGCCCACGACAATGGGATCATTTTTTTCGGACACAGCCTCCTGCTTCATGGAGCTCTGCCCTTCCTGCCGGAGCACCGACCTCCGAAGCCAGCACAACAGACCCTCCAGGCTGCCCCCAGTTCCTTCCCCTGCCCTTTTGAACTTAACATTGCCTGTGAGTGCTGCCTCTGGATGGTCTGTTAACCTTACCATGCTTTGAGTCAAATTGGACTGAAGTAGAGTTCTGGTCAAAACAAACAGTAGTTTTCTTTTTCTTCTTCCTCCCAACCGTTAGAAGCATATTGCCATTGATGAAAAATAACACCAAATTGCCAAATGGTTAATTAAGAGCACTTTCATCTTCTTTACACAAAGATAAAATATATGCAAAGGGTAGTTTACAATACCCTTTCAGAATGAATACATGTAACAGGCTTACATGCCTGTTACACTTTTCTTATACTTTGCAACTTTGTACCCAAACTAAGAGGCCTGAAGAACAAAACAGCTTTCCTTTTCTTTTCTTTTTCTCAAGTACATAAAAAAACACCTAGAACATTTTCATTATTTGTCAAAAGCAAACACGAACACCCCCCACCCCACAATTCAATACATTCAACACTGAGCACCCTTGTAGAATTCTCCACCACTTACTTAAATCCATGGGCGGTATTCAGAAAATAAATACTATCTCACACACAGAGCTTCTTTCAGTCCCAAGGTTTTGTACAGCTCTTTACAAGCTATTTATAGAAACTGCTACATAAGCATTGTTGAACAGTACCCAGTAAGGCTACACCGCAGTTGGGGACAGGAAGCTGAGGGAGATAACACTATTCAATTGACATCACAGCAACTCTGGAAGGGCTGAGGTTGGGGCTCTGCACTTTGTGAAGTGCAAAATTTAAGGACCTTCACTTATTCTCATGTCCTGATGGGCCTTTCAGACACAGGTAGTACCATTGCCTGGTTGCCACAGCGGAGGTCCAGGTGAGCCTCTTTTTCCTATAGCTTCACCCCAGTGCTCATAAAGGCTCACCTGGTCTCCCCCACAGACTCTGTGCTCTTGTCTCCACTCTGCGTTGTGACCTGGTCAGGTTATAACTATAGGCAGAAAGGCTGCTGGGTTGCCACTAAAATTCTAAAACAATACATTTACCTCTCAGGAGGTTTCTTTTTCTTTCATACTAAGGAAATATCAGGAAGATGTCATGGCCTATATCCTGAGTTATAGCCACAAAAATGGACTATTCACCTTCAAGGAGTATAATATACTTAGTGTTGGCTCACTGTAAGAAAAAATGCATAAAAGAGGGAAAGCTGGTGATTTCTATGACAAATCTATTTCTTTCAGCTATTTTCGTTCTTCCTAAATGACCCACACACCTCCTTTATACTGCATTTTGAAAAATGGATAGATTGTCTTTCCACAGAATTGTAATCTCTGAAAAAAAAAATCAAGAAGGCTCTGAGAAAAGACATTTTATTTAATTTACTTCAAAGGACAATTCAAAGACAGCAGCATTAATAATGTGGAAAATGTAAGAACAGGTTTTAGACATTTTAGAAAAAATGTCTAGTATATGAGTTTCAATTAATCTTTATTGAATGATCACAATTTTATAGTCAATTTTTTCTGAAAAGTTAGGAAACTACATACAAGTAGTTTTATCCTCCTGTTAGAAATTCCATATAAAAATTTCATGATAGAAATTTCTTGAAATTCTAAATATTGAAATTCTAAATAAGCTAAGGAGTTGTAAGCTCAGCACATTATTATAAAAAATTAGCATTTTAGAACTGCAGGATGTTAAAACTTGCTAAATTACAATTTTAAATCACAAACCAAGTTTAAAAATTACAATTCAAATGGCTCAGAAATCAAAGCTGCAAAAACATTTGATCGCTTCTGCAGTTAACCTTTATCTTGGCTGGAAAAAACAGCAGATAATAGGCAATACAGTACCTTAGGGACTGGATGAGCTGAAGAAACTGCAGCCGGCAAAACTATACTGTGTGAAATATCTCTTTGTCTCCGGAAAAAGAAATTTCTTCTTTGTTGACTGCTTGACTGCTTGTGTAAGTAGACATGATTGAGTGGTGAAAAGAAAATTCTATGATAACCTATAAGCAGAAATAGATATATTTTAAGTAAAAAAAAAAATCTAACTGCTACATTTTAAGATGTTGATTGTTGTGTATTAAATCATTATTCTAATCTTTTATTGACTCAAAAAAGAAAAGACCCAAATAGAAAGGAAAACAGTGGTATTCTGAGTTCTAGTACAATAGTAGCACAGCATATTTATTAGCTAATACTATGTTTACATAAAGGTTTGACAATGAAAAACTCTACTCTAATGGGAAACAAACATATAGAAACATCTGCTAAGCACTAGGTCTATAAAAAGAATTTCAGCTATATAGTACCTTGTGCAGCAATGTCCAAGATGACCCTGGATTTGGGGCACTATTTGGGTGGCTTTATATTATTTAAAGCCGTTTTCCTTTCAAGAATCATGGACAAATTGCCAGCTGCACTTTTTGCCCTCGATAGGATTACTACTTTGTGTTAAGTTCACATGCAGTGAGGCATTATACCGAAATTCATTGTGATGAATGCTCAAGTAAGATAAAGATTAAACAGCAAAAATGTGGGGCATAATCCTGAAAGAAGATGAACATACATACCCATCACAGGAATTTAGAAATATCTATGAAAAATTTAAATGCATGTATCCTTCAACACTGCAATTCATCTCCTAAGGCTTTACCTTGCATATATTATGCAATGGTGGAAGTACGAAGATGTATTTTCACTGCTGCATTGCAGTTTATTTTTTTTAAGATTTATTTATTTATGCATGCAAGAACTGGGGTGCAGGCCAGACGTGCGAGGATTCACCAGAGACAGAGTGGGAGCAGAACAGGCAGACTGACGGAAATACACTGCTGAGGGGAGCAGCAGGTGAGACAGGGGAGGTCTGCTGTGCCATGTGTGTAGCTCCCTGGCCAGCCTGGGATCAAACATGTGCTGCAGAGGCTGCTGATAGCTTCACAGTGCTGTGCTTAATCCCTTGTGCCACCAGGGAGGCCCTCACTGCAGCATTGCTTGTGGTACAAAAAAAGGGAAATAGGGCCTCCCCGGTGGCGCAGCGGTTGAGCGCTGGGTTGCGAAGCTGCCCGCGGCCTCTGCGGCGCCAGTTCGATCCCCAGCTGCTCCCCGGCTGTTCCCCGGCTGCTCCCTGGCCACAGGAGGAGGGTCCCACATAGCATGCAGACCTCTCCTGCCGCCCGCTGCTCCCCTCAGCAGTGAACTTCGGTCCTTCTGCCTGCTCTGCTCCCCGCTCTGGCTCTAGTGAATTCTCACACCTTCCCACGCTTCTGACTGTACCCAGTGCATGTATAAACAAAACAAACAAACAAACAAATAAATAAATAAAACATGCCTAAAAAAAAAAAGGGAAATAATCTAAACACCCATCAATTGGGGATTGATTAAATATATTATGGCACAGCTACACACAGAAACTATGAAACTTTTAGAGAATGAACAAAGTCATCTCTGTGTTTGATATGGAAAGAGGTAGCAATGCATAGTTAAGGAAAAAACAAGTGCTAAACATTATAATAAAAATCCCAATAATACAATAAGACTTTATGCACTTAAATAAGCTTGTACATGCCTGTACATTTTCTAAAAATTGATATTCATCATCAGTGATTATTTTGGGAGCATGTGATTGAGGTTGCGGGTGGGAAAGCTTGGGATTCATTTTATTTTATTTATTTTTAAATTTTTTTTTAAAGATTTATTTATTTATACAAGCACTGGGGTACAGGCCAGAGGTGCGGGAGGGTGAGAGAATTTACCAGAGACAGTGCAGGAAGCAGAACAGGCAGAAGGACCGAAGTACACTGCTGAGAGGAGCAGTGGGCGAGACAGGAGAGGTCTGCCGCGCCATGTGGGAATCTCCCTGGCCAGCCAGGAATCGAACCAGCACTGCAGAGGCTGTGGACAGCACTGCAGAGGCTGTGCTCAACCCACTGCACCACCGGGGAGGCCCTTGGGATTCATTTTATTGTCTTCCATGCTACTAAACTTTTAAAACCATCCATTTACAAAGATTTATTTATTTATGCATACAAGAACTGAGGTACAGACCAGAGGTGTGAAGGGTGAGAGGATTCACCAGAGACAGAGTGGGGAACAGAACAGACAGACTGAAATACACTGATGAAGGGAGCAGGGGGCGAGACAGGAAAGGTCTGCTGCTCCATGTGGGTAGCTCCCTGGCCAGCCGGGGATGGAACTCATGCTGCAGAGGTTGCGGATAGCTTTATGTGCTGTGCTTAACCCCTTGCGCTAGCAGGGAGGCCCTACATTAATTTTATAATTAAAACAATAGTTTAAAAAATCCCCATCATGCTTTAACTGTCAGGGGACAGCAAAATACAGCCTAGAAGGCCAAATCTGGCTTGCTGCCTATTTTTATATAACTCATGACCTAAAAATGATTTTACATTTATAAATGGTTGAAAAAAATAAACAAAAAACGTACCTTGCAACATATGAAATTAAATAAAATTTAAACTTCAGTGCCCACAAATAAAGATTTATGGGAACATAGGTACATGTTCACTTACAATGATCTATGACTACTTTTGAGCTACAGTGGCAGACTAGTTGTGACAGAAACTACCGGATTATAAAGCCTAAAATATTTGCTACCTGGTCCTTTATAGAAAAAGTTTGCGGGGCCTCCCCTGGTGGTGCAGCGGTTGGAGCGCTGGGTTGCGAGGCTGCCCGCAGCCTCTGCAGCGCTGGTTTGATCCCTGGCCACCGGGGAGGGTCTCACATGGTGCGCAGACCTCTCCTGCTGCCCGCTGCTTCCCTCAGCAATGTATTTCGTCAGTCTGGCTGCTCTGCTCCCGGCTCTGGCTCTGGTGAATTCTCTCACCCTCCCGCGCTTCTGACTGTACCCAGTGCTTGTAAAAATAAATAAAAATATATTAAAAAAAAAAAAAAAAAAAAGAAAAAGTTTGCTGACTCCTGGTCTAGAGCACAGGTTTTCCCGATGTGGTACCCGGACTGCTAAGCAGTATCAGCATCACAAGGGGAAAAGATGCCAGTTCTGGGCCTCCCTAGTGGTGCAGGGGTTAAAGACACAGCACTATCAGGCTATCAAGCTATCACCAGCCACTGCAGCACAAGTTAGATCCAGCAACCGACATGGTGCAGCAGAGCTCTCCTGCCTTTCCCGCTGCTCCCCTCAGCAGTGTATTTCAGTAGATCTGCCTGTTCTGCTCCCTACTCTGTCTCTGGTGAATCCCCCACACCTCTGGTCTACATGCCAGTTCTTGTATGTATAAATAAATAAATCTTAAAAAAAAAAAAAGATGCCAGTTCTCCAGCCCCTCAATTTGCTGACTCCATCTCTGGGATGAGGCTAGAACTCATGCTTTAACAAGCCTTCAGGGTGATGCTGATGCATGCTGAAAGTTAAGAATTACTACCTAGAGTCACCTTTCAGCTGTGAAACATAATAGGACACCAACTACAGGTGACAACTGACTCCAAACTCAAGATTTCAAGTGAGTTGGAAAAAGCTACTGAAGCAAAACCCCAGTGGTCAGTGATTCAGTGTCATCAACTTTCACTCATTTATGTTCATCCATAAAATTGAATGTGATATTGTTGAATCAAACTTACAAAAGTGTTTTGGGGATTATTTTAGACAATTCCAAACACCAGACAAAATACTGGCAGTAACATCACTTCTTTAAAAAACTTTTTGCTTGATAGAAGCAGGTACATAGTCCCTAAAAGGTGTAAGGTCTGATATTTCCTTAAAGACAATGCCAGCAGCCCTAGGATTGTCAATTGGCATATGAGGGAGAGGGCACACACCAGCTGTTCCTCTCCTAGGGAAAGCAGGTAGTTGGGAAGCAGAAGCCTGAACTTTTGTCTTGTGTCTCAGTTCTGCCACTTATTAGCTGTGTGGCCCTGAGCAAGTTTTTTCCTTTGAGTATTAGGTGAGAATTAATCAGAATAAAGTATGTGAAAGTGTCTTGCATTTTAGTAGAGGACCAGTGAATAATATTTTCTTCAAGAATACTCAAAAAGTAAAATGAGAAGAAAACATGGGCTCCACTATACCTTCTAATGCTGGGTATAGTGTCAATTACTGTACTAGGCATTCCACATATGTTAGCTCATTAATCCGTCATGAGATTGTGAACTGCTATCTTTCCATTCCACAGTTGAAGACACTGAGGCACACAGAGCTAAGTCATTTCTCTAGGGACACACAGTGCCAAAGCTGAGGGAGAGCAGGTCAAGTTGCATCCACAGAGTATATTACTTCTCTCGCACGCATGAGGGAAAAAAATGAGCTAACAACACATGACCCAGAAAATGTCAAAGGCATTATAAAACTATTCAAAGTTACCACTGTTGCTAAGTCATTTCCCCCAAAATGGTGATGGGTTCATCTAATCCAACCACTCTCTCAAGCAAAATTCCCTTTGTTGACTGAACCATAAGGTGACTGACACAAGTTGGT